GGTTTGCTCAAAAATCGAGTAATTCATAGTATATTCGCGTTTTAACACCAAAAGATGATTGTAAAAATTGCAAGTCAATCTGTCACCATTTGCCAAGTTAGGAAATTATTTTTGAAAAAAGTCTGTTTTGCTAAAATGTCAACGTAATGTTTATCATATTGTTTTCTACGTTAGAATTTCAGAATATTTTTTACGTAAAATGTTTTCCGGAGTGGAATTTCCTGCTGAACACGAATATCGTATTTATTTTCAAATTAATTCACGTCGTTCCTTAAAATTTGGAAAAAACTGAAATATGGGCTCATGGGGCAAGGATAGTTAGAGATACCCAGGTGCGAATTTAGGTTGGCCGCCAGAGTTTGAAGGTTGGCCCAAGGTTGGCCTAACTTTGGCAAGCAAAGTTTTGGTTGCCAGAGTTTGCCCAACTTTGGCAAGTACTTGTGCCCACAGTTGGCCCGACTTTGCAAGCCAACCATTAAATGCAGAGTTTAACCAACCGTCGGGCCAACTTTGGCGACAAAGGTTGGCACAACTTATCCAAACGTAGTTTAAAAGACTTTCAGTTTCGGTTGGCCGAACTCTGGGCCACGGTTGGCCCAACGGTTGGCAAAACTATGTGAAACACAGTTTAATTGACTTACATTATTTTGGTTGGCCGAACTCTGGGCCACGGTTGGCCCAACGGTTGGCAAAACTTTGTCAAATGCGGTTTAAATGATTTAAACTTTCTTGGTTGGGCGAACTCTGGGCCACGGTTGGCCCGACTGTTGCAGCTTAAATATACATTTTGCGTTATGCACTCCCATGTGAGCGTAGCGTAGTGGTCAGTGTATAAGTCTTCGGTGCGTTAGGTTAGGGGTTCGATCCCAGCGAGCGATAGATATTTTCGAAAATGTATGTATGAGATTGTGTTTAATAATAATAGGTAAAGGTTATATCTGATGTTCCCGCTAATAATAACGTGTTAATTGTTTAAATAATGTAGTTTTTTAATAATTTTTTACCTTTGGCTGTTGAAGTTGGCCAAACTTTGAAAATTGTGGTTGGCCCAACTTACGCATCTAAAGTTGTGCCAACTTTGGCGTCAGTCTTTGGACCAACCATTGAAATGTATAGTTGGCACAACATATGCATTGTAAGTTGGGCCAACTTCCTTATGAGTTGTCGGGCCAACCATCGTCGCCATTAGACGGTCGCCGTTATCATCTGTATGGTTGGCCCAACCTCTGGCACGAGAAGTTGGACCGACTTTGTAAAAGTTGGCCCAACTATGGGCCGACCAAAAAATCGCACCTGGGTAATACGGCACGGTAAAAGAGTGTTAATACCATTGAAAATTTTAAAAAAGTGTTTAATTGTTCTCTTTAGGTTGATATACATAATAGTGCGTAATTATATACGGAAAACGAAGCTTATGACCAAGAAATTGGTGGTCGTCTGAAAAAAATTGGTTAAACCTCTGATTCTAGTTCAGATGAATTTTAATACAATAATTGCAATTCAGAAAATGATCCATACATATATTTAATACTTCGGATATCAATATTGAATAGTCTAAATCCAGTAAAATAAAAAAAACAAAAATTTACTGATTTTCTATAACATTTTTGGCATTCGAATTCTTTTAACTATCCTTGCCCCGGTACTGGGGCAAGGATAGTTAAAAATTTTTGTTTACTTTTTCATTCGTATCTCGTAGGGATTTGAGTCTACAGTAAAATAATGTACAGGAAAATTATAGCCAAATAACCAGGCTTTCCAAAAATACGTTTCATTTGCAGATACATAATCAAGTTTGGCCGCTAGATCCGAAAAGGTCTTACCTAACTATCCTTGCCCCATCCTCCCCTACATTAAATAAATATATTAAATAATGTTAAAAGAATGGTCCGAATGTTTTGATTTATTTACCTACTTTTGCTGTATAATTAATTCAATAATTATACCAATTTGAAAAATGAGAACTTTTGTTAAGTTAAAAGAACAATTTTTATAATAGAATAATGTATTCTGAAATGTAAAAAATAAATTTGGAAGATTTTATATGTATATATAAATTTTCATGAGACTTTACCAAAATTAGAAAGATGTACCAAAATTTTTATAGGTTATGTGTTCACACATTTCAGAAATGGTCACAGCTTCGAAAATGGTGGGAGTAAAGTGGGAGGAGCTTGGAAAGTATTTGGTTAGGAATGGTGAGAAACGTTCGAAAACGTCAGAAGTGGTGAGACTGTTCAGGAATGTTCAGAAATTCTGACCATTCATGACGATTCCTGATTTTATTTTTAGTAGGGTTGGCTATGGCCATATAGGCAAAGATTGTAAATTGGTAGATAGGTCAGCTGCGTGCTTTAAGGCCTAAGCACAACTGTTCGGTTTCGGGAGACGGTTTCGGGATATGTAAGATTTACATACATTTTGAGGTTAGGAAGCCCATATCCCGAAACCGTCTCCCGAAACCGAACCAGTTGTGCTTAGGCCTTTAAGTGTGGAGAAGCCGACCACAAGATAGCAGACTGTAAGAAGAGCCCATGCTGCTTCTTATGCGAAAAGAAGTTCGACGGGAAGTATAAAACTAATCACGTCGCAGGGTCAGGAATCTGCAAGGTCTTCAGAACTGCCTTAGAGGAAGCAAAGAAGACTTTGTCTAGGACATCATGGTTCAAAATCTAGACTCGTGGAGACATATTTAATCCTTCATTATTAAAATAATGGGGAAAAGATAGAGACGGAAGACGAGGTTGACCGGATGAGGGAGCATTTACACCTTCGGTAAAAATTTCCAGAACGGAAATTTTTTCATTGGAGTAAGAGAGACAGACTGTGTATCTGACTCTCTTACTCCAATGCAAATTTTCCTTTCTGGACAATTTTTACAGAAGGTGTAAACGCTTCATGAATCCAGTGCTCAGAAGTTTTGAGCGTGGGGGGAGGAAAACTTTTCCTCCCGTCCTTGCTCACACATTGCATGAGCGGGTACTGGCAAGTTAAGGAGCAGGACAAGGGGACCACCACTTGCGAATTCACAGATTTTCCACTTCCGACTACAAAAAAAAGAAAAAGTTAATTATATGTACAAAAATCATTGCATATAATTACTTATAAACCATTATTAAATAATTAAATAATTCTTATTTAATTTCAACTAATTTTAATAGTCAATTCACTTATTTTTGAATTCTTTAGAATAATTATGTGAAATATAAAGAATATTCTATACTTTATTAATAAAAATTAAGTTTAATTAACAATTTTAAATAGGTATTATCAACTATTTTCAATAATTTTTAAATATTCCAGTTATTTTAGTTATAAAGTAACAATTTAAGAATATAAAATTCTTTATATTATAAATTTATCATTATTAATCATATTTTATTGTTTAAAATTAATTGTTAATAACTTTCTTAAAACTGAATATTGTTAATTTAATTCATTTTCAACACATAATTATGTATAATTTACAGACGGTGTTGATGAAGTTGATGCTCTGAGCGCTCTAAAAGTACGAAACGCGGTTGGTTGGGTTAGGGAAATTGCATTTTTATTGGCTAACACTCAACATTGGTAGTTTTGTGCTCTGTTTTCACGCTCGACATAAAGTTGAGACAGAGAGTGAAAACAGAGCACGGAACTACCAATGTTGAGTGTTAGCCAATCAAAATTCACAATTCCCATAACACAACCAACCACGTTTCGTACATTCCGAGCGCTCAGAGCGTCAAAGCCGAAAGCACTGTAACTTGTTGAAATGGTAATTTTGGCTCCATCTCTTAGAAACTACAAACAATTTAAAACCCCTTCCACTCAAAAACATCCCTGTCTTAACTACGTCCACGCAACTCCTAATTTCGAAAGGCTGGACCTGAAGGGCCTAATACCATCCTTGGGCTAATGAGTTTTTTGTCATTTTCCTTTTCAGGGATCTAATCAAACTCTTTTTCTCCACCCAGAAACAATTCTCAGCCAAAACCAATCCTAACCCAAAAATTAGGAAGGGACAAGAATATAAAAACATGAACTCTGTGGAAAATATTCAGTTCTAATTCTTTTTAAAATTACTTAAAAATAATTACTCAGTTCCAGTTATTCTTAAAAATAAATCAGTTATTCGTTGTTTCAAGTACTAGTTCAAGTTCTACTTTCAATTCAAGTTCCAATTCAAGTTCTAATTCCATTATTAGATCTAATTCTTTTGGAAATATTTAAAAATAATAAAAATAATTGTTCGCTATTTACAAGTTCAAAGTTCGATTATTAATAAAAAGATTCAAGTTCAATCCAAATCTCTAGAGAAGGAAGCCAAAATTCAACTTATTTCCACAATTTCCTGTCTAATAAAATTCTTAAAATTTGCTATCTAACTTTATTCTAAAATCTATTTCTCATCATCTCTCTCTACTCCGAAGAATATTAATTTGTATATTTCTTGTTAATATCTCTTCAAATTCCTTATTTTTATATTTTTGTATTTAACAATAATTTTTATTTACCTTTTTATAAAGAACATTTATATGTTAATCGTCTAAATGATTCTTTTATTCTTCATAAATAATATCCTTAAACCAAAATCAATTTGAATCGTTCCTGAGTTAGTAGACGCAAGGCTAGACTCGAAAATAAGTAATTAAAGATTATTATCATTTAATTTTCTTATAAATATAAGTAATAAATGATTCTCGAAAAACATTATAAACGATTTATTATTTGAAGGCTTTTTAAAAGAAAAATATTTGTAATCTTAGGGTATCACAGCGGCACTAATCAACGGCAATATTGTAAGCAATGAAGATATTTTTCTGTACTATTTCTCCCTTCTATAATAAATTTCTTGACTAACATTGACATTAAATAATAAAAATTTAGAAATTAAACAAAAAGCTTATTGTAAAAACAAATTAAATTTAAATTACATATTTGTAAAATAAACTAAATAATACAAATTTAAAAAATATGAACTAAACCGATTAGCCGCTGTAATGCCTTAATCAGTGTTATTTCAACGCACTACTTTCGCAATGTTTATTAATTTTATTTCGATACATAATTACATCTAAGTTTTATAATCTGTGATCAAAGTTACATTTGTGAAGAAACGCCAATGAACAATCTGTAATTATACTTAATTAAATAGGTTTAAATGAGATCAAAGACAATTCGGCTTGCTTTACAAGGGTTTTGTCTTGGATAAGTCCTATTAACATGAAAAAAATAATAATTGTTTCATAGTTTTGTAAAATAATATTAATAATAATATCAATCATGTTTTACATCATTACAAACATACACCAAATATAAGTCCAATCATCTGATATTTCAGTACAGAAGAAGCATGATTATAAAATAATTTTTGAACCTAAACTCTTTATCTATAGACTACAATTTTAAACAGTGAACAATTAAGTTTTCGTATCAGATGACTAGATTATCAATAACTGATCTATAAAATGGAGAAGATATAATATGTGATGTACAATAGAATTCTTCAAATTTTCCATAATTTATCTTCTTAATATTTACATACGAAATCTTATACAATACACTATAAGTAAGTAAAATTTGAGCTCAATATTACATTTCAAAAATTCTCCATTCTATTTCAATATTTCCAATAAATACCGTACAATTAAAAGGTTTTATTTCTTTTATACAATATCGTCAATTTCTCCCACAAATATTTGCAAGTGTAAATCGATTGTATATACTTGAAAGAAATATGAATAATTCAATTATTTAAAATATTTAAAAAATTTATTGAAAAAAAATTAATGAGCCCAAACTTTCAACATGTTTAATTGTAAATATTTTGAAAATTATGTCTCACAATTCAATACTAATGATCAATTTCATATAAAATAATAAATATATTAAAGTCGGTAATTAATGGTAATGATAGCATTCACATTCACAACTCATTATCTGCCTAAATACATAAACTTTACTAAAATGTATGAAAATTTTCTTATTAGAATGTTGTTCAACATTAAAAATAATATAGAAAAGTCACAGTATTAAAGCAGATTATTCGTAACGTTCGAGTACCTAAACAAAAAAGAAAAAAATACTCCTTTTCTATATAAAAATCAACTTGTAGATACACGAGAATTAATTGAATTTCGCAAAAAAATAATTTAATTGTATTATGTAAAAACCGGGAAAAGCGAAAATCTTACAATTATATTTGTACGACTGAAGCGTACCCTAAAATATACAATCGGCATATTTCATTCTGTTTACATATATGTATATAAAGTAGGCTATGTAATTTGTATAATATATAATTAATATGTAATGTATAATACATTTTATTATATCACACGTTTGTGCAACGTGTAATTAAGAGTAAACATTTAAAGCGACTATAATTCTAGAAAAAAAAATAAATAAAATGTAGATTTAACTAATCGAATTAGTTTTCACTTGCTAATAAACTTAAAATAAAAGTCGATCAAATAAAATTTAGCATTATGCACGTAAAATAATTATACTCTAATTTCAGAGACTTTTTTTTGTACATGTACACGTTTAGAAACGTCTCAAACGCCATTTTCCCATATATTCTATCATATTTTTTTCGACGGTTTCACCTTCCTTTGCGATTCCGAATCTTCCTCAATGCCATAAAGATGAGCTCGATGCTTCATTTCAGTGGCAACAGACTTTTGCAAATGAAATGAAGTAGCAAACAAGGTAAAAACAAACATAAAGAAAATTAGTTTAAGAAAATAATAAAGGTCACAAAAATTAGTGTTTTCAAAAGAATAAAGAAAATTACGGACTAAAAAAATAAACATAATCTTAAACTACACTTACCAAACGTAAACGAACTCTTTTTGGTAAATCCTCTTGTAAACTGTAGATTTCATTTCTTTTCAGTGAAAGTTGAGAACTATCTTCAAAGACGACCTATTAATGCAATAGAAAAAATTTAATTTATATTTTTTCTTATACTTAAACATTAGAAGATACATCTAAACAGTAAATATTTTATACTTACATTGTACATAATGCGATGATTGGTGCCTTCAAAAATTCCATCATAAATGTTATTATCTGTCCACTTAACTCTAACATGTGCTCCAATCGTAGGCACATTTCGAGGGTCGTAGTTCTGCAACAATAAATTACAACGTGAATTATTTTAGATTCGGTTTAACACCCATACTTTCCATTTTGTAAAATATTTTCTTTAGAATGACCAACATTGAACTATTGTTTTTTAAATGTTATGTCTCTAAGTTTTACAAAAAAATATTTAATAATTCAGGGCTCGAACTAGTGAAAGTATTTAAAAATACGGACTTTACGAACCAAAAATGAAAAATTATGGACCAATTACTGACAAAAATATAACCAGTCCGAATCAAATAAAACAACATTTTATTTAAAACTATAAATAAAATTTTTCATAACTATAAAACATGAAGATATGGATAACTCCGAGTCTTCGACTCGAAGTCATCGATTTCTTCATGTTTTATAATAATTAAAGATGACAAATTGATAAAATCATTATTTTATATTATAAGAATATTGTTCTTCTTAAAAATTATTGTCTTCATTTCAATTCAATTATTATTTTAAAGAATTTTTAACTAAACTTCATCTTTAAATTAATTAATTTTCGAAAAAGTTCTTTGACAATTTTCAAGTCCATTTATTTATAGATTTTAGAAAATAAAAACTTCTTAAAATAAAATAAAAAAATTCAATTAAACTTTTTCAAAAAAATTAATTTCAAAATTCAATTATTTCTAAAAATTCATGTTATATTTCTTTTAATATTCAATTATTATCTTAAATTTTAACTAATATTCATTTTTTAATCAATTTTTATTAGAAAATTGATTGCAAAAATACTAGAATTTTATAAACAAATTTTTAAATAATCGAATTCAATTATTTAAATATAAAAATAAATGATTTATTCAATAATTGAATTCTCATAAAGAATTTTATAAACAAATTTTTAAATAATTGAATTCTTTCGACGATTTTTAATAAAACTTTTAAGAATAATTTATAAATAGTAAAATTTTTTGCAAAAAATCAATTACTTTCAACAAAATTTTAATAAAATTGCACGAAAGAGTTTAATTATTTTCTAAAATTTTTAAAAATCCTTCGAAACAATTCAATTATTTTTATAAATAATAAAATTATTTGCAAAAATTCAATTACTTTTAATGCAATTTTAAAAAATTTCATGAAGGAATAAAACTTTTCGAAAGAATTTAATTATTTTCTATACTATAAACTTCCTTAAATTAATTACTTCAAACTGCGAACAGATTTTATTATTTTATTATTTATGAAAATAATTGAATTCCTAAGAAGAATTTCTGCAATGGATTTCATTACTCTTAAAAACAGTTGAATTTCTGCAATAATTTGTAACTTTTTAAAAATTAAATTTTTTTTCAGTCTTTTTAAGTAAAATTGTTCTATAAATTCATTATTTTTAATAATTTTTGAAAAAGTTTCTAAAGAATTTTCAAATTTATATATTTTAGACAGAAATTTATTTTTTTATCAATTTTTGTTAGAAAATTCTGCTAGAATTCAATTATTTAAATATAAAAAAAATAATTTATTGAATATTTGAATTTTTCTAAAAATTGAATTCTCACAAAGAATTTAATCAACAAATTTTTAAAGAATTGATTTCTTTTCACGAATTTTAATAAAATTTTTAAGAATAATTATATTTTTCGAGGAATTTCATAAAAATTTTATTAAAAATCATTGAAATTCTGCAATTAGTTTTATTATTTATGAAAAAAGGATACCCAAAAAAAATTGAATTCCTAAGAAGAATTTTATTATTTATGAAAATAATTGAATCCGTGTAAAAAAATTTATAAAATCTATTAAAAAAAGTATATAAATAATAATTGAATTCCTGTGAAATTTTTATTATTTTATGAAAATAATTAAATGTTTGAGTAGAATTATATTAAAATTTTTTTAAATAATTGAATTCTTTTGGGAAATTTTATTATTTTATTATTTATTATTTCTAAAGATAATTGAAATTTTGACGAGAATTCTTTTTAATTTTTGAACATAATTGAATTTCTGCAATTATTTGTAATTTCTCTAAAATTCTTCAAATTATATTGTTCAATTTACGAACTTTTCGTCCTTTTTCAATCAAATTACGGTTCAATGACTTTACGGACCTTTTTTTCAAAAAAAACTGACTTTTACAGACTTGAAGCAAAATTACTGACTTTTACGGGATTCATGGGCCTAGTTTCAGTCCTGTTAACAGGCTTCACAGTGCCCCTAAAAAGAATTTTAGGGGAAATAGGGGATTAAAAATTAAAAAATAGGGGACTTTTAGGGGACTATAAAAATTGGTTAAATAAAGATAAAAATATAATTTATTTCTGCAGGGTTGACACAAAAATTTTACTTTATTTTTCCCTGACTTTTCCCTGATTTCCAAACACAACTTTGACTTTTTTCCGGACCCTAAAGAATATTCTGATTCACTCTAAAAATTATTAGATACTCAAAAAAATGTTCTACAAATTTCTTCAAAAGTAAAATTATTCGAAAACATCAATAGTTTTATTTAAAATAAATATTTAATCATTTTTTTTCATTGGAATTAAGATGTTCAAAAATTTAAAATTGAACAACTCATAAGAATATTATTATAAAAAAAAAGATGACTGACTGACAAAATCATTATTTTATTATTATAAGAATATTGTTACTGTAATTTTTTCAAAATTATTTGTATCATTTCAATTCAATTAACATTTTCTAGAATTTTTAACTAAAATTCTACTTTAAATCAATAACATCAATTATTATTCAATTAAACTTTTTCAAAAAAATTAATTCTACAGAATTGTTAGTTAAAAGTACGAAAAATAATAAATTAATTCTACGAGAAATCAATTATTTAAATACAAAAATAAATAATATTGAATGTTTCTTAAAATTTAATTTTTACGAAGAATTGTATTAACAACTTTTGAAAATATTTAATTTCTTTTTAAGGAATTTAATTAAAATTTTAATGAAATTTATTATATTAAAGAATTTTATAATAATTTTTGAAAATAATTTAAAACTTTTTGAAGAATTTTATTAAATTTTTTAAAAATAATTGAATTCCTGAGAAGAATTTAAATAATAATTTTTGAAAACAATTGAATTCGTGAGAAGAATTTTATTAAAATTTTTGAAAATAATTGACTTCTTGAGAAGAATTTTAAAAAAAATTTTGACAATAATTTAATTCTTGAGATGAATTTCCCTATCTATTTATAAAGATAATTTAATTCTTAACGAGAATTGTTAAAAAAATTTGAAAATAATTTAATTTCTGCAAAGTATTTAATTACTTTTCAAAAGAATTGAATTCTTGTGATGAATTTTGATGTTTATCAAAATAATTGAATTTTGGAAAAGAATTTTATTAAAATTCCTTAGAATAATTGATTTTATGGAAAGAATTTATGCGATTTTGTTGTTTATCAAGTTAATTGGATTCTTTTGCAAAATTTTTAAAATTGTTTGAAAATAATAGATTTTCTGCGACGAATTAAATGTTATTTATGAAAATATTTGAATTATTGCAACGAAATTTATAATTTTATTGAATAATTGAATGTTTCTTAAAACTGAATTCTTTCCTCAAGTTTTAATAAAATTTTTAATAATAATTGCATTTTTAAAGGAATTTTTTTAAAATTGTATTAAAAATATTTGAAATTCTGCAATGAAAATAATTGAATTCGGAAGTGAAATTTTATTATTTATGAAAATAATTGAATCTTTTCGTAGAATTGTATCAAAAAGTTTTTTCTATAATTAAATCTGTTGATAAATTTTATGAAAATAGTAAATATTGAAAATTATTGAATTGCCAAAAACTTTTTAAAGTAATTGAACTTTTACAAAGATTTTTATAAATTTTTGAAAATAATTGAATTTTTGTCGAAAAATTTTTTCTATTTGTAAAGATAATTGAATTCTTGACGAAATATTCGTGAAAATCTTTAAAAATAATTGAATTTCTTCGAAGAATTTCATTACTTTTGAAAATAATTGAATTCTTGGGATGAATATTTTAACTTATGAAAATAATTGAATTTTGTAAAAAAGAATTTTATTAAAATTCCTAAAAATTATTGAATTTTTGTAAAGAATTTTGTTATTTATCAAAATAATTGCATTAAAACTTTTGTAATAATTAAATAATATTAAAAAATTCATTCTTGTCAGAAATAGAAAAAATTTTGAAGGTTTTTTATTAGAATTAGTGGCAGTTTCATAGTTTGCGAAGCTAAATTTGACGTGAATTCATCATTAAAAGATAAAAGAAAAAAATAGGGGAAATTTAGGGGAAATTTTCAAAATAGGGTACGTTTAGGGGCCAAAATTAAAAAAAGGGGACTTTTAGGGAAATAGGGGACAGACTGTGAAGCCTGTGTTAATATTAAGGGGACTTTTTGGTCAAGGACTTCAAAAAAATTGATTTTTCTTTTTTTGCTTTAAAATGTTCCTTAGTAACATAAAATTACTGTCCTTTAATTTTGGTTATTAAAATTCCTTTATTCTTAAAATTCTCCAAATGGACTATGGAAATATATGATAATTAAAAAGTTTACCAACAAATTATTTAATGTTAATATTGAAAAACGAAATATGAAGTTTGAAAGTAAATGTACACCAGGGTGTCTAACAAGGATTGAGAAAAAAATTCCCTGACTTCTCCCTGACCGTTAGACACCCTGTACACCACTAACGTAATTATGTGAATTAAAATACACATAATGTGTCAGAGATAGAAAAATAGAAAGTTAATAAATTTATAAAACATACGGTAATGTCGTCTGGATAAAGATCTTCGCTGAAACTATGATCCTCAAATGTGACCATGTAAAAAAGAGTATCTTGAATCGACGAAATTTTTGCTTTATAATAACGTGTGTTACGATGTTTAGCCCATACAACTTCGCCTAGACCGACCAATGGTATTTTCTCCTTCCCATCATCATGACGATGACAAGTTATCTATAATAAAGAAAGAATAAACAGTAAAAAATAATTATTCAGTGTTTCTTTATATATTATAAAGTACATAAATATAAGAATTTTGAATTACTTGTAGTTCTTCTGCATTATACGGTGGAATAACGAAAGTGGCACCCTTCACTAATCCACAGGAAGGATGAAACAGAGCACCACATTTATCGCAAGTAAGGCAAGCTCCACTCCTTTGTCCACAGCAACAACACTGTTGTTTAGTTATTCCCAATTTCATTGTTAAAACGTTTATTGGATCCTTGTTTATAGCATCCTTAAATGTTATCCCTGGTAATAGAAGTGCACACACTATATGAGCCCAAAGACCATCGCTTGTCCGCTTTACAGCTCCACCAATCATTGGACACAGGCAACACATCTGAAACAACATTGATTAGGTCAACATCAAAATGAAGAATGAAACGTGGATAAAAATTACACAACAATTTAATAGTCACGGTAGTACAATTTACCGAGAAGTTAAAAGTTTAAAAAGTCTTTGGGAAAATTTATAACGCGGTACACACAAACATTTTGCAAACTTAGAAAAACAGGTTCACCTAACAGGTAAGATAAAATCAATAATTCTTATTAGAAATTATTGTAAATAAGTTGAAGTTTATACATTAAATAAATTAATATTTTTTGAATACTTCATGTAATTCAAAATTATGAAGATACAATTTACCAAATTTTCTAGAAGGCGGGCAAATTGAAAATGACGCTGCAATGTTTGAACGCATCAAACCAATCATTGAAGCAACAGTAACGAGTTTACCAAATCCGTTCGATAGTGATTACAAAGTTATATTGTGCATCAATAATAATATTGTCTTTTAAATAAAGCGTGTACAACAGTAATTTCAAAACATCAGAAAAGTTCAGAATAATCCGAAGTGCCTTTTAACAAAAATGTAATAATTTTGTTAAATTTCACTTTGAAGATAGACGAAGCAAGTCAACCAAATTTCAATGTTGGGGAAAGTATTTCAAATAATTTGCTACCTTCTGATTCTGTTTGCAGTGTACCTGTCATTACATGTCAAGAGATTATAAGTGGAAAGGCATAATTTACATTTACAATTTCTAAAAACATAATAATAAATTCATAAAATTTGGTTTGCTTTCAGGTCTGCAATATAAAAAATCAATCGCCCTGTCTAAAATCGCCGTCAATAAAACATACCGCTATAAATTCTGTCTTCAGGGTTGCCACGCTTTTGCTCATTTCAAATTCCCTGACTTTTCCAAGTTTTCCAGGTTAAAAAACGGAATTTTTCCAGGTTTTTAAAACTACATACATCGATATCTTCATGTTTTATAATAATTAAAAATGTTGGACTGATAAAATCATCATTTTATATCTATTATAAGATTATTGTTACTGTAACTTATTCAAAATTACTTTCATTATTTTAATTCAATTATTGTTTTCCACAACAATAAACTAAAATTCTAAAATTCTTCTTTATAAAGTGTAAATTAATTATTATTAATAATTTCTGAAAAATTTCTTTCAACATAATTTTCAAATCCTTTTGTTTACAATTCAATTTTACGAAATTACATCGATTATTCAGGTATTCGGAAATTCTTCAATCAAATATATATTAGAAAATAAAAACTTCAAATAACTTCAAAAAAATTCAATTCAACTTTTACAAAAAAAATTAAATCTACACAATTTTAAGTTAAAAGTATGAAAAATTCAAACATTCAAAAATTATAATTTGAAACCTTTTCAAAACTCAATTATTATCCAAAGTTTTAACTGAAATTTATATTTGAATCAATTATTATTAGAAAATTCTACGACAATTAAATTATCTAAATACAAAAAAAATAATTTATTGAAGAATTGAATGTTTTTTAAAACTTAACTCTCATTTAAAGAATTTTATCAACAAATTTTTAAACAGGTAATTAAAATTCTTTTGACGAATTTAAATAAAATTTTTAAAAATAATTTCATTTTTCGAGAAATTAGATTAAAAATGTATTAAAAATAATTTAATCTCTGTAAAAAAATTTCATTGAATTGAAAAAAGTTTTTGAAAATAATTGCAATTTTGTCAAGAATTTTATTAACTTTTTTTTAAATAATTGAAATATTGCCAAGAATTTTATTAAAATTTTTTAAAATAATTGAATTTTAGAGAAAAATTTTAATATTATAATAATAATTGAAATTTTGACTGTAACTTTTTTTAAACTTTTGACCATAATTAAATTTCTGCTAAGAATTTTATTATTTTTGAAAATAATTGAATTCTTGAGACGAATTTTTTAATAATATTTCTTTTTAAATACCTAATTATTTTTGATACAAAAATAAATAATTTATTGAATAATTGAATGTTTCTCAAAATTGAATTCTCATAAAAAACTTTATTAACAAATTTTTAAATAATTCCATTATTTTGACGAATTTTAATAAAATTTTAAGAATAATCACATTTTTCGAGGAATTTAATTAAAATTGTATAAAAAATAAATGAAATTCTGCAATGAGATTTAGTATCTACGAAAATAATAATTGAATACCTGTAAAAAATTGTATTACATATTTATAAAAATAATTTAATCTCTGTAAACATAAATTGAATATTTTTGAAAATAATAGATTTATTGCGAAGAAAATTTATAAATTTTATTAAAATAGTAGATATTGAAAATCATTTACTGGAGGAGAATTTTTGAAAAAAAAAATTCAATTTGTTAAAAAGAATTTCATTAAAATGTTTGAAAATAATTGAATTTTGGATAAAAATTGTAATATTTATAAAGATAAATAATTGAAATTTTGACGATAAATTTTTTTAAACTTTTGACAATAAAATTGAATTTCTGTGAAGAATTTTATTACTTTTGAAAATAATTGAATTTCTTTGATGAATTTGAATAAAATTTTTAAGAATAATTTTACGTTTTTAGAGAAATTCCATTAAAATTGTATTAAAAATAATTGAAATTTTGCGATGAGTTTTATTATTTATGAAAATAATTGTAAATCTATAAATTTTTTGATTATTTTTGAAAATAATTGAATTATTGCGAAGAAATATTGTAAAGGCAACTCTTTTAAAATTGAGTTAAGAAAATTGAATTAAAGAAAAATTAGATTTCAAGAATAAGCACAATAACTTTAGAAAACAATAATTTTCCGGGATTCCAATCAAAATTCCCTGACTTTTCCAGGTTTTTTCAAGGTTTATAAAAATTCCCTGACATTTCCAGGTTTTCCAGGTTTCCAAGTTGCGTGGCAACCCTGCACTGTCTTATATACAGGAATAAATAGAAAGAACAACGCAGAAAAAACGAAGAATATAGAAAGAGCTCAATCTTTTGTAGATTTAGCATCCGCAAAACATGAATTACCTACAACATTTTAACCCATTAAGGTTAAAATAGGCGACTGAAGTTGATTTCTTTTCGAAAAATCCTAGACGGGTTTTGGAAATCGTAAAAACTTGTTAGTTTTTCATAAAACTCGGTATGTGAATATTTTCTAATTCGCTGGTGCACAATTTTCAATTAAACTTTCAAAATTCAAAATGGCGGATCCAATATGGCGAACTAATTTTAAAAATCTACTCATTTTGCTTGACACTTATTACAAGTGTTATTGTAATACAGTTTAACTTTTATTTTTAAAATATTGACTGGGTTTTTTCATTTTCTTTTTTGAAAATACTTGAATTTTCTAAAACCCTGAAAGTGTCCGGACACTTTAAAAAATGTATGTACGTCACATTGAACGTCTTATAAAACCGTATTTTATGTTGACTTTATGTGAATATTAAATAGATTTTTCAATTTATTTCTATTACATTGTCTATTTACATTGTTTAAGACACAGTTGGATGTTACTTTATCAAGTCCAATAATTAAAATATAAAATATTTTCAGGCTTGCCCGGGGCTACATGACAAATTGCTTAAACATTACACTGATACATGGAGTAGTATATAAGGAGACCGAACGCCCATGATGAATCCGAGGCACATGATTATTCCACAAATGTCATTTGACCGAACTGTCATTTTACCGAATTGCATTTTTACGAATTGTCATTTTTATGAATCGTTATTGTTTCGAAAAGTCATTTTTGCGAATTGTCACTTTTACGAATTATCACTTTTAGAATGTCGAATTTTCATTTGTCTTAACTTTGTTTGTCACAAGAGTTTCCTCTCTATAATTCTTATTGATATGGTTGATTTAAATTGTGCGGGAAATTTGAAATCACATCTTAAATCAAATTTCGCGCGCAATTTTAATCTACCTTACCGTCTAACAACATAGATAGTAAACTCTATAGTGACAAAAAAGTTAAAACAAAATAAAACTTCAACACTGTTAAAGTTTAGTGCTGTAGAAATTCGACGTTTTAAAAATTCAATGTTTTATAAATTCCGTATTTTGGATATTCACTCATAAGAAAATTAGGTTACCTACAAATATGGTTAAATAAAAATTTGGTTAAATGAAAATTTTTTTTAAATGTAATTGCAACTATATATTAATGGTTGTACACCAACATTTTGTTAAATTTAAATTCTGTAAGACTACAATTCGATTACATTTACGTCACATAAAAATTCGATAATATAGAAATGCTGCGATGCAAAAATTAAGGTCATCAGAATTTTTAATTAGAATTATTACAGTACAATTTCGATACATATATATTATAGATTTAAAAATTTCAATTTAATAAAAATTTTGCTTTACAAAAATTAAAACAAGTAGAAAATCTTATACGTTATTATTCTAATAATCCATTTACATCAAATTTCTTTTGAGCAAAATTACTCACTTCCTAAAGTTTTAACTATTCCAAATTTATTCAACTTTATGTTATATATATGTTTACTATTCTTTTACGAGAAAATTCTCACATTCTGCAATTTGGTTAAATTAAAAATAACTCACTTCAGGATTAATTTCAATACTACTTCTATTCAATAATAATTTACTCAAATTAAAATTATTGCAGTTATATTAAATAACGTTTATGGAAATTAAAATTCGATGCTGACAATATTTTAACAATTCAAATGCAGACCACCTTACTGCGTCCCCATAATTTTAATAAAAATTAATTAAATTAATTAAATCATAATGTTAATCGCAATGTTAATGTCGCATCTTGTACTTATTATCTCTGTTCATTTCCAGCCGAGCACTTTTAAAATTCATATTTATTATATAATAATATCTTATAATTTTAAGATAATTAATAATAATAATTGTTAACTACTTGAAAACAACACTAACTGTACTGTACAATAACAATAACAGACGATTATTAGTGACACTTTTCCCCGTTGGGGGCGCTTCTATCGGTAGAAGTGAGCCCATAGGAATAACGATAAGAAAAAATGCGGCCACTTTGCCTGATTGTGAATGTCGTTCGGTCTCCTTATACTAACTCCATTCACTGATATTAAGAAATTGATTAGTATAAAAGTTAGGTTATGTGTACAAAACATGAGGAAATATATTGTTAACATAATATTTGTTTAAATATGTTTAAATATAAATAAAATAATTCATTATTATAATATAAGTTAAATGTCTCACCTGTGTCTTTTTTCCAGCCTTACACTTATCACATGCCCAACTTTGAGAATCGTTAGAAATTACAGTAACACCATAACAAGATGCGTGAACTGTTACATGACACTCTCTGCATCTAAGAAGTTTACTGTTCTCTGGTTCTATATTTTGTTCTTTCGAATTCGCAGCAAACAGTCTTGAGGAAACCTTTAAAAAATTTCCAATTATTAGAATATAGAGTCCAACCATATGTAACAAAGTATTATAAATAAATTTATGTAATTGGTTAACAAAAATTATTTATGTGTCAAACTTTTTGTAATCGGCACAGAAAAAGAATTTTAACAAAAGTTACTCTAACATAAAAAGTTTGGTAACTGTTTAAATAAAAGCTTGTTCTTTTCGTACTAAAATATGACCCCAAGGTTGATTTTGCAAAATTTTAATTTTTTAAGATTTATTGTTTAAACAATTTTTAGGCATCTAATTATTAAAAAAAGATTTCCTACCGTTCTATTTAATGAAATAATAAAATTTGATATGAGTAATATACAATAATCATACCTTCGAACAAAAAATATTTATTAGATTTTGTATAATTTATTTAAAATAACAACAATTACTATAAACAAATAGAAATAAAATAAACATCTTCGCCTAATTTCATATTTTTTCTGGTCAATTATTATTATTAGGTCAAAAGTTATTAATATTTTTGTGACTGCGCTCGCTGCTCTCAACAGTGGAATAAAAAGACAAAATTTAGTATAAATTAACTTTTAGACCACAATTTTTAACCAAATGAAAAATTTTTTTCCCTCAAATTTAGAACTGAATTCTAAAAAGATCTGAGAAAGTCAATTTTTTGAATTTTGTTTTATAAATTTTTAATGTTAATGTAAAGTGTAAAAAAATGATTTTTTAAACTTTTCAATATATTTTAAACAACATTTTTTTTACAAACTTAATATTGCATACATTTTATGTCTGGAGGTGAGTAAATAGTAAAAAAAATTGTTTCTAAGATTACAAATTGTTATAAACAAATTATATAAACAATTACACTGTAGGCAAAGATATGACTAAAAATAATTTGTTTGCTTTATAAATTTACTTCAGCTAACTGCGATTAATGTTTGTTTTAATAAAATTCGTATGTTTTGCAATAATTTTTCTTAATTATTTAAACAATTTTAAGAAACAATTGCACTGTAAGGACATTTTTGGACACAAGTAGGTAAATAAAATTTTTTACAATTAATGTTTCTCCTAAATCGCCTAGAAATTATCCTTATGAAAAAGAAATTTTGCAAATAACTATTATTTTTATAAACAATTTCACTTTAGGCAAAGTTATGTTTATTAATGTTTCTTTTAATGAAACTGATGTTTTGCGATAATTTCTCTTAGTTATTTAAACAATTTTAATAAACAATAACATTTTTGGACAGAAATAAAAATCTTTAAAAAAAATTTAGCAAGCTTTATTTAAACAAGTTTTAAAAACGTTTTATTCTTTTATTAAAATATTTTCATCAAATTTAATTGTTAATGCTATTTATTTGTAAAAATAAGAGAAATTGAAGCAAAACGATTAATTTTTTACCAAAAATATTTGATCGAGTGATAAAATCATTATTTTATAATTATAAATTAACTTTCATTATAAAATTCTACAAGAATTCAATTATTTAAATGAATATAAAAATAAATAGTTATTGAATAATTGAATATTTCTTAAAATTGAATTATCATAAAGAATTTTATCAACAAATTTTTAAATAATTCAATTCTTTCGACGAATTTTAATAAAATTTTTAAGAATAATTACATTTTTCGTGGAATTCGATTGAAATTGGATTGAAAATAATTGAAATTTTACAATGAGTTTTATTATTTATGGAAATAATTAAATTCCTAAAAAGAATTTTATTTCTTACGAAAATAATTAAATCTCTGTAAAAAAGTTTATTATTTATGAAAATAATGGAATCATTGCGAAAAAATTTGTAAATAATCGAATTCCTGTGAAATTTGTATTATTTATGAAAATAATTATATGTTTCCGCAAAATGTTATTAAAATTCTTTAAAATAATTGAATTCCGTAGAAGAATCTTATTACTTTTGGAAATAATTGAATTTCTGCAAACATTTATAACTTCTGAAAAATTTAAGTTTTTTAGTTATTTGAAAAGAAATTATTGACAGAAATAAAAAAATTTGACGTCGAGGTATAATGATGTGCACCGTCGATTATTGTCCGGTACACACCATTAGAACTCGACTGTCGATAAACCGGTTGTACTCAGGAGAGGTTTTCTACAGTTCCCTCTTTTCTGGCGAGAAAACCCATTGTCGGGTGGTCCAGGCGGAATGCGAGTACTCCTAATAAAAGTCGGCTGTAGACGCAAATTAGGTTAATATATAGAAAATTTCTAAGTAGAATGGTTATGCTTAATCCAAAAAGTATTTCTCGGGGACTCTTGTCGAAGTGCGTAAGGCCAATAGGGCAGGAGTATAAACAATAAAAAAAAATAATATTCAATTATAATCTAAAATTTAAACTGAAATACATTTTTAAATCAATATTTATTAGAAAATTCTACGAGAATTCAATTATTATTTAAATACAAAAATAAATATTTTATTATATTGAATGTTTCTTAAAATTGAATTTTCATAAAGAATTTTATCAACAAATTTCTAAATAGTTGAATTCTCTTGACAAATTTAAATAAAATTTTTAAGAATAATTTCATTTTTCGAGAAATTTTATGAAAATTGTATTAAAAATAATTGAAATTCTGCCAAGAATTATATTAAAATTTTTGAAAATCATTGAATTTCGGAGAAAAAATTTATTATTTATAAAGATAATTGAAATTTTGTAAATTTTTGAACATAATTGAATTTCTGCGAAGAATTATATTGTTTTTTTTGGAAATAATTGGATTATTGAGACGAATTTTATTAAAATTTCTTTTTTAATATAATTGAATTCTTTTGTGAAATTTTATTGAAATAGACATTGAAAATAATTGGATTTTTACAAATTTTTGAAATTAATTAAATTTCTATGAAGAATTGTATTTAAATTATTCTGAAAAAATTAAATTGTTACAAAGAATTTCATTAAAATTTTTGAAAATAATTGAATTTTTGAGAAGAATTTTACTATTTTTGAAAAGAATTGAATTTCTAAAATCATTTGTAATTGTCTCAAAATTCAATTTATTAAATATATATTGACAAATTTAACTAATTTTAGAAAATTTTGAATTATTAAAATTTTTAAAAAATCTAAGTTCATTAAAATTTCTAATTAAATTCATTAAAATTGAAATTTTATCAAATTTCAAATTAAACCCGTTTGAAGTTCATATACTTATGAAAATTGTAAACGCAACTCTTTTAAAATTGAATTAATTTTGAAATATTTGTAAAATTATTCATTAAATAATTTATTTACTTTATGATAATTGTTCAAGATTTAAGTTATATAAAAAGAAATTTTTGTTAGAAATTGAAAAAAAAGGTTTTTTATTAGAATTCGTGGTAATTTCATAGTTTATAAGTCAAGTAAAAAAGCCCCAAAAATTCAGAATTTTGTTATAAATTCTAAAAATTAAATTTTTTTTCAGTAGGTACTTTTAATAAAAATTTCTGACTTTTCCCTGAATTCTCTATGTCAGAATATATGATTATTATAATTACAATAATATTAAAACTATATATTCCAATTCATATTTTATTTTAAAAAAAAATTTTTACGTTCTATTATTATTAAAATTGCTAATTTTATTTTTAAAAAAGTGAGTGAGAGCCGCGCGCGAATTTTCAGAAGAATTTTAGTTATTACATTTTTTTTTAATCTAGGTTTTATAAAATTTTTAATTAAATTCATTTAAAATTGAAATTTTACAAAATTTAAAAAAAAAATTAAATATTAAAAAATTAAATTAAATTATTTAAATTTAATTTAATTTTAAAATTTATTTTTTTATTTTTTTAAATTAAAATAATTTTTTTTTTTTTTATATTTTTCAAAATGAATTTAATGAATTTCATACGAGGCGCATGATTATTCCCCAAATGTCATTTTACCGAACTGTCATTTTAACGAATTGCATTTATTCGAACTGTTATTTTAACGAAATGTCACTTTTGCGAATCGCCATTTTTTACGAATTGACACATTTGCGAAAAGTCATTTTTGCGAAATATCATTTTTGCGAATTGCCATTTTTACGAATTGTCACTTTTGAGAAAAGTCATTTTTTCGAATTGTCAGTTTTGCGAATTGTCATTTATGCGAACTACCATTTTTACAAATTATTACAAATATTTCGCAAAAATGACTTTTCGCAAAAGTGTCAATTCGTAAAAATGGCGTTTCGCAAAAGTGACATTTCGTTAAAATAACATTTCGGATAAATGCAATTCGGTAAAATGACATTTGGGGAATAATCATGCGCCTCATTTCATAGTTTTGAATTTCATGTATTTATGAAAATTGTAAACGCAACTCTTTTAAAATTCAATTAATTTTGAAATATTAAATTAAAATTAGATATTGATAACAATTGTTACTCACCCAAATTGGAGAACTTTCGGGTAATACTGTAGGTGTAGAATACTTCCAATCTGAAGACATCTGACTATTGCATTGACTTTTAGCTAAAGCGAAAGGTGCACAAACTGCACAGTGCGAAATTTGTGCACTCCAATAATCGTTGAATGTCTGTAAACTATTATTATCCGGTACATTTGGATAGAGCATTTCTGAAACATGTCCTGGGATAATCGAGCTATTAACAGGTGGAATATTTTTTCCATAAGAGCCCAACGATGGCGACAGACTATTGACTTTTGAAACTGATGCATCTATTATTCGATTAGCGACAAATTTTTTTGGCTTCTCTTTTGATTTTCTTCGACTTTTCGATTCCATCGAGGCTATTATACTTGGAGCCTTATTTTGTATCTTATGCTGAGTGTTCTGCGATAGATAATCATAGTAATTATTTCTACACTCTGGAAATTCATTATCCTCTAATTCTACAGTCTTTGGTTCATTTTTTTCAAAGTTTTCAGTAGGCTTAAAAATTGTTCGATTCATGTCAATCGATGGTTTAATAATACCACTACTTGTTGAACTATTTAAAAAAATATTATTTTCAGGCAAATTATTAACTTGTGTTGCTATTGAACATTTGGACATAATTTTTAATTTTTCAATGGATATTGGTTTGGGTCCTATTTCTTCAATTATTACGTCATCGTCGTTATCATCGTCGGATTTAAATGAATTGAGAAAAGTTGGAGGTTTATAGTCTTTTGTTGGAAGTATCGACTTGTTCATGTTCTTTTGAATTGGCTTTGATATTCGTAATAAGGAGGGTGGTGGTTTTTTCTGATTAATCATTTGACATATGTTTGGCGATTTTTGATGTTTTAGATAATCGATAGCAATGGGATATTTTGGAATATTTGTCGGTGTTATTGTTGTTGCGGTCAGCAGAGGCTTTGGTATTTTAATGGGCGGTGAAATGCCAGTGGTTGAAGGAGAGGAAAACTTTTCTTGATTATTGGGCAATAATGCAATGGAGGTATTACATTTATTATCCGAGTCGAGGATTGAACTGAAGAGCCTTTGAGATTCAGGTTGAATAAACTTTCTAATGACATTTTTTGCATCGTCATTGGAGGTTTTTGAGTAATTAATTGGTACCGGTTCTACTATAAGCATTTTTTTGGTCTTTTGATAGATTCGATTATCGGGAGTTCGTTGAGAGGGAACACTCGGTTTGAGTAAATCTATCCTTTGATTGCTTGACATGGGCATAGATTGACTGCAATTTATAGGTACAAACTGATTTGATGCACATGGTTGATTAGAAATTGAAACTTGGCCAGTGTTGTACAACTGATTGGAACAAGAAGACTGAATCATGTATGGAGTCTGGTTCGACATTGAAGATTGACTCGACATCGTCGGTTGATTTAATATCGATGGTGTACTCATTGCTGTCGGTTGATTCGAAATTGACGATTGGTTTAAACCTGGTGACTGATTTATAAAACCTGATTGACTTGGATGATTACATTTGGTGATGGTTGTAGTACTCGGTAAATAAGCCACATTATTTGATGATATCAAGTGAGAATTTTGTGACGGATTCCATACTTTTGGAGGAAGAATGTAAGCTTTATCGATCAATCTACTAAAATTCTTGTTTTCTTGAATTAATTTCTCCGATTCAAGTTTCGGCATTTGTCGCTGATCTTGTTTGTTCACAGGTAAATTAAGTTTAGGTGCTTTCAATATGTTATTTCTACCATAAGCCATTGACTGCTCGTTAATAATGCAGGAATCTTTTATATTTGTACAATTATATTGTTGCGGAGACTCCAAATTGACTAGAGGTGTACTGTCTTTCATATTCGGGATATTTTTCATTCTCTTCCTTTGCATTGCACAACTTGGTCGCTTTAAAATTGTAGGCTTACACATTTTAATCTCGGAGATAGTTTTAAAATCATCATTGATTTTAGTTATTTTAGCAAAATTGTTATCAGCTGTTGGTTTAATACCAGAAACAATAGCATTAATTGAAGATTTATCATCAATATCAATGCTGCTTTCTATTGAAGTGATGTTTAGCGATAAAGAATCATTTTGAAGATTATTTATGTTAGGCTTAATTTCAACATCAGTTTCTGAAGAAGATACTTCTGATGAGATTTCAGTTTGAGAACTGGAGTTTGCTATTGCAGTATTCTTATAGGCAGAAAGACTGGGCATTGCCATTAGTTTTCGCTGAACATCAGCATCTGACACGTCTAATGGTTCGCTGCTATTAAATAACTCACTGTCAGAAAACTTGCCTTTATTTTTTATTGCTCTTGACTGCTTTAGTTTTTTATTTACTGCAATCTTCGATTTCTTATCTTTAGCCGTTTCATCAGAGAACTTCTTTTTACGGCCCGGTCTTCCTTTCTGACATTTCTCTTTTGGAGGAACATATTTTAATAACTTTTCCTTATCATCATTTTCAGATGCACTTGTATTTGAAAATTTTGTTGAACCAGGAGATAGCATATCATCCGTTGTATTCAATTTTTCCTCTGTTGAGCTGCTTTCAGAATTAACTCTTGACTTAAGAGCTGATTTTCTTGTTTTAGGCTTTTCCTTTTCTGAAAGTAACTTTTTCTTTCTTTTTTTTCCTTTCTTACGGTTATATCCATCGTCAAAGACTGATGCCTCATCCACATCTAAATAAAAAAAAACATTAAATTAAATAATGATAGACTTTAATATTCAGAAGAAGAAATTTTATAATAAAAGTTATGTTCATTCAGGGTTGCCACGCTTTTTCTCATTTCAAATTCCCAGACTTTTCCAGGTTAAAAAATGCAATTTTTCCAGATTTTTAAAAATACATTTATATTTTACAAAATTAAATAATTCCAATAAATTTTTACAAATTGGAAACTTTCATATAATACTGTATTCCGCATTGTTATATTTTTTTAAAATACTTTTTTGTTAATAATAAATGATTAAATAACCTAAAATTTAACAAATGTTTCTTATTGACAGAAAATTGTAATTTTCATTCAAATGCAACTTTCAATCGTTTTAAATGTTCAAACTTAAATTCTTCGCCTTTCCACCAAAACGAATTAAAAATTTAATCTGTCTTTTTCTTTTAAATTACGAAATTGTGACATTGGACTAACTTTTATTTTGACTGCACAATCCGATTTTTCCTTAAAAATCAACGAGTGAAAAAATTATTATTTTATATTACAAGAATATTGTTACTGTAACTTATTTAAAATTACTTTCATCACTTCAATTCACTTATTGTTTTCCAGAATTTTTTAACTAAAATTCTTTTTTAAATGAATTATTTTGAATAATTTTTGAAAAATTTCTTTGAAAATATTCAAATCTTTGTTTACAATTCAATTTTACGAAATTTCATCGACTATTCGGAAATTCTTCAATTGTATATTAGAAAATAAAAACTTCAAATAACTTTAAAAAAATTCAATTTAACTTTTTCAAGAAAAATTAAATCTACACAATTTTTATAGTTAGAAGTATGAAAAATTCAAACATTCAAATTGAGTATCTGCATGCAACAACTCGCCGAGCGCTCGGACGCACTCTCTAATACCAGTCGGGTGTCAGTGAGTGGCGCAGAGGCGCTCACTGCTCCCCGACTGGTACTAGCGCTTGCGTCCGAGCGCTCGGCGAGTTGTTGCATGCAGGTACTCAATTTATAGAGTTTAATATTCAATTATTATCTAAAATTTTAAGTGAAATTTGTTTAAATCAATTTTTATTAGAAAATTTTACGAGAATTCAATTACTTAAATAAAAAAATACATAATTTATTGAAGGAGTGAATGTTTTTTAAAAAATTCTTTTTACAAATTTTAATAACAGTTTTAAGAATAATTTCATTTTTCAAGAAATTAGATTAAAATTGTATTAAAAATAATTTAATCTTTTTTTTTTTTTTTTTTAATCTTTTCAATTCTGTAATTTTGCAAAGAATTTTATTAAAATTTTTGAAAATAATTAAATTTTGGAGAAAAATTTTATTATTTATAAAAATAATTGAAATTTTGAATAGAATTTTTTAAAACTTTTCACCATAATTAAATTTCTGCGAAGAATTTTATTACTTTTTAAAATAATTGAATTCTTATTGAGACGAATTTTAATATTTCTTTTTAAATAATTGAATTGTTTTGTGAAATTTTATTGAAATAGTAGAGATTGAAATCAATTGAATTTTGATAAATTATTGAAATCAATAAAATTTCTACGAAGAATTTTATTAAAATTATTTTGAAAAAAATTGAATTGTTAAAAAGAATTTCATTAGAATTTTTGAAAGTAATTGAATTTTGGAGAAAAATTTTATTATTTATAAAGATAATTGAAATTTTTAATATAATTTTTTTAAACATTTCAACATAATTGAATTTGTGAGAAGAATTTTATTAATATTAATTTGAAAAAAAATTGAATTGTTAAAAGGAATTTCATTAGAATTTTTGAAAATAATATAATTTTTTCAAGAAATTTCATTAAAAATGTATTGACAATAATACTTAAATTCTATTAAATAAATTATAGCAAAGATTTTTAAAATAATTCAAAACTATTTAATGAATTTTAATAAAATTTTTAAGAATAATTACATTTTTCGAGAAATTAGATTAAAAATGGTAGTGAAAATAATTGAAATTCTGCGATGAGTTTTATTATTTATGAAAATAATTGAATTATTGCGAAAAAAATGAATAATTTGTAAATAATTGAATTCCTGTGAAACTTTTGTTATTTAATTCATTCAAAATTCAAATTTTACAAAATTTCAAATTACAACCTTTTGATGTTTAATGAAAATTGTAAACACCTTTTTTTAAAATTGAATTAATTTTGAAATATTTAAGAAAAATTAGATTTCAAGAATAAGCACAATTACTTTAGAAAACAATAATTTTCAAGGATTCCAATAAAAATTCCCGACTTTTTCAGGTTTTTTCAAGGTTTATAAAATTCCGTGACATTTCCAAGTTTTCAGGTTGCGTGGCAATTCTGTCATTTCATAAAGAATAGAGATCTTGTTCTCAAGAGAAAATTTTGTACTTTGAATATCATAATTGCTCTAAATTATTCCCTCTTTTACATTACAATGAAATATATTAGATAAAAATAATACTATTTATTGCGTTTATACAAATTAATGTTAAGGGGAGGTTCCCATTGCGGGAGTCAAAAAAATTGATTTCTTTTTTATTGTATTTTTTTAAAGCTATATATATGTAGAATATGTGTGTATAGCGATTTTTTGATCCGAAGAATATTTTCGTTTTTATGGAGTCTTGAACTCACCGCCGTCCCGAGCACTGAGTAACAAATGTCAGGCAAATCGAATCAATTTTTAAAAATTTTGCAAATCTGACCTCAGAATCGTAAAGAGCGACCCTAAATACCTATAGATATTTATCATATACGCAAATTGAACAAAGAATTGCAAAGAATAAAATTATTGCACAAAAATGTTTCTCAAACTTTAAACGCGGTTTTCTCGAAACAAGATTTTTCAAACTGGTGGGCATCGTAGCGTCTAAACTATTTAATCAATCAACTTCGGGTTTGCGGCTAATTAAAGGTAACTAAATTCTACTGGGGTTATACCTATAATATGATAAAATTGTTAACAATAGAGATTTTTACAAGAGGTCAAATATGGAAAAATAATGCAAAAACGCAGTTTTTTTAAAAATGTGTTCGCCATTTGACATTTTATTAACTTTTTAACTATTTTTTAGGTATAACCTATTCTTTAGGATGTCACCTTTATAAAAATTTTTGAGTTTTTGTTTTAGACTAAAAATTGCGCAGTATAGAATGCCCACCGTTTTCCCTATTTAATAAAACATTATTTTCTAGATGCGCCATATTGGCCGCCATTTTGCATTTTTTTTTAAAATGAAATATATATTTTAAAAGTTCAAGAAAGTATCTTTATTTAGAAAAAAAAATTACATCGTTAAGTCATAGCCGTTCCTCGCAAAAAATTGTCAAAGTTTGTGTTTATTTTGGCCTCCGCAATGAGAACCTCCCCTTAACAACTGCAAAAGATTCTCTCAAGGAAGAAAAATCAGTAAAGTTAAAAAAAAACAAACCCATTTCTCCAGCTTTTAGCCAAATGTCTTCCAAAACTTCCAATTGTTGTTCATCCGGCTCTGCTTCTGGTTCTTCATCATCCATCATCTGGAGAAATTGCTTCACGTATGGAGGAATATTTGGTTGGTTTTTAACTAACTGTGTCAAATCCATATTTGTACTGGGGCCATTCTTCTTGCAATGAATTGTATGACGCTTATTTTTGGGAATAGCAGAAAGAAAACTCTCTGGCAATTCTCCATTACTTTTACTATTACAAAGTAAATCCAACTGAGATGGCATGGGAGCAGCTGTCTGTCGTGGATCTTCAGGATGAGGTCCAATGTCTTCTCCACGTAACCACAATTGATATCTGAAAGTTGACAAATTAAATTCAATTTTTACCCAACAATTAAAAAAATATCGCTTTTCAAGCATCACAGTACCTTTTTTTTCATCAAAAAAGTAGAAAAGAGTAATTTTTTTCCTCAAAAAGGAGACAAAAATTTATTTCTTTATACAACTTCCATATATATAATTCAAATTTTTTATCATATAGCTTCCATAAAATGTTTTAAAAATGATTCGATTTTAATCAGAGATGCCACAAAAATTTAATTTTGTTTTTCCCTGATTTCCAGATAAAATTATTACTTTTTCCCTAAAGCATATTCTGCGATTTACTCTAAAAATGATTAGATACGAAAAAAATGTTCTATTACATTCATTTACAAATTTCAGTAACTGTAAAATTATTCGAAAAAAGCAGTAACTTCTTTTTTAAAAAAATATTTAATCATTATTATTTTTCCATAGGAATTAAGATTTTCAAAAAATTTAAATTCAAATCTTTTTGAAATTCAACAATTTATGAGAATATTATTATGAAACATGATGATGACCGAAATTATTCTTTAAATCAATTATTTACAATAATTTTTAAAAAAATTTTGAGAATTTTCAAATGTATTTATTTACAATTTAATTTTACGAAATTTCATCAATTATTCGGAAATTCTTAAATTAAATATATATTTGAAAATAAAAACTTGGAATAATTTCAATTAAACTTTTTGAAAAAAAATTAATTCTATAGAATTGTTAGTTAAAAATATGAAAAATTTAGATTTTCAAAGATTTCAATTTGAAACTACGACAATTCAATTATTTAAATACAAAAAATAAATTATTTACATTGAATAATTGAATGTTTCTTAATATTGAATTCTCATAAAGAATTTTATCAACAAATTTTTAAATAATTTGAATTCTTTGGACGAATTTTAATAACATTTTTAAAAATAATTACATTTTTCGAGGAATTTGATTAAAATTGTACTAAAAATAATTGAAATTCTACGATGAGTTTTATTATTTATGAAAATAATTGAAAAACTATAGAGTTTTTTTTTAATTATTTCTGAAAATAATTGAATTCTTGTTTAGAATTTTATAAAAAAATTTTTTAAATAATTGAATTTCCATGAAAAATGTAGTAAATGAATAATTGTGAATAATTGTATAAAAATTTTGTTAAATAATTGATTTTTTCGACATTTTTTTGAAAATAATTGAATTCCTAAACAGCATTTTATTATTTATGAAAATAATTGAATTCTTACGAACGATTTTATTAGAATGTTTAAAAATAATTGAATTTGCAAAAAAAAAATATTACTTTTAAAAATAATTGAATTTTTGTGATGAATATTGTTATTTTTGAAAATAATTGAATTTTGCAAAGAATGTTATTAAAATGCCTCAAAATAATTGAATTGTCGGGTATAATTTTCTATTTATCGACATAATTGAATTCTTCCGAAAAATTATTTATGTAAAAATTTAATTTTTAAGAAGAATTTTATTAAAATCTAAAAGAATAATTGAACTATTTCAAAAAAAATTTAATTTAAATTGTATTTAAAATAATTGATTTCTTTCGAAGAATTTTATTAAAATATTTGAAAATAATTTAATTTCTATGAAAAATTCTAATATTTTTGTAAATAATTGAATTCTTCCAAAGAATTTAAAAAAACCCTTTTTTAAATAATATTGATTTTTTCGAAGAATTGAAATCAAATTTTTAAGAATTAATTACATTTTTTGAGCAATTCCGATAAAATTGTATTAAAAATAATTGAAATCCTTCGATGATTTTTATTATTTATGATTTATGAAAATAATTGAATAGTTGCAAAAAATTTTATTAAAATTTTCAAAAATAATTAAATTCTTTCGACGAATTTTAATAAAATTTTTTCAAATAATTGAAATTCTGCGATGAGTTTGATTATTCTTGAAAATAATGGAATTATTGCGAAGAAATTTATAAAAAGTTTGTAAATAATAGAATTCCTATGAAATTATTTTATTATTTCTGAAAATAATTAAACGTTTGCGTTGAATTTTAATAAAAAAAATTTTAAATAGTTGATTTCTTTTGGAAAATTTTATTATTTATAAAGAAAATTGAAATTTTTACGAGAATTTCTTTAAATTTTTGAATATAATTGAATTTCTGAGAAGAATTTTATTACTTTTGAAAATAATTGAATTTTTCCAATTATTTGAAACTTTTCCAAAATTCAAATTTTTTTTAGTGTTTTTAACTAAACTTCTTCGTTAATTTCTTTATTTTTAATAATTAATTAAATACATATATAAAAAAATTCAACTACCTATCAGAAATGGAAAAAATTGAAGGTTTTGTATTAGAATTTTTTTTTTTGAGAAAAAACTATTAATAATAATATTTCAATTATTTGAATGTTAATTAATTATTTTTCTGAAGGTCTGCATTGTGTTAAATGAACCACCTTATAATTTATAAAATTCTTTACGATATCTATATTATTTAAATCATTAACATAAAAAAAGAGACGCCTTATTTTGGCCTAAATTCTAAAAGTTAGAAAAACCATTTGTTAGAATTTCAAAAGTTAGAATGTTTATTTGTTAGAATTTCCAAAAGTTAGAATGTTTATTTGTTAGAATTTCCAAAAGTTAGAATGTTTATTTGTTAGAATTACCAAAAGTTAGAATGTTTATTTGTTAGAATTATTAAAAGTTAGAATGTTTATTTGTTAGAATTTCTAAAAGTTAGAATATTTATTTGTTAGAATTTCCAAAAGTTAGAATGTTTATTTGTTAGAATTATTAAAAGTTAGAATGTTTATTTGTTAGAATTACCAAAAGTTAGAATGTTTATTTGTTAGAATTATTAAAAGTTAGAATGTTTATTTGTTAGAATTTCTAAAAGTTAGAATGTTTATTTGTTAGAATAGCCAAAAGTTAGAATATTTATTTGTTAGAATTTCTAAAAGTTCGAATGTTTATTTGTTAGAATTACCAAAAGTTAGAATGTTTATTTGTTAGAATTATTAAAAGTTAGAATGTTTATTTGTTAGAATTTCTAAAAGTTAGAATATTTATTTGTTAGAATTATTAAAAGTTAGAATGTTTATTTGTTAGATTGTCCAAAAGTTAGAATGTTTATTTGTTCGAATAGCCAGAAGTTAGAATGTTTATTTGTTAGAATTTCCAAAAGTTAGAATGTTTATTTGTTAGAATAGCCAAAAGTTAGAATATTTATTTGTTAGAATTTCTAAAAGTTCGAATGTTTATTTGTTAGAATTACCAAAAGTTAGAATGTTTATTTGTTAGAATTATTAAAAGTTAGAATGTTTATTTGTTAGAATTTCTTAAAGTTAGAATATTTATTTGTTAGAATTTCCAAAAGTTAGAATGTTTATTTGTTAGAATTATTAAAAGTTAGAATGTTTATTTGTTAGATTGTCCAAAAGTTAGAACGTTTATTTGTTAGATTCCCCAAGTGTTAGAATGTTCATTTGTTAGAATTTTTTTTGAGCAGCGAGTTTCCTTTCTATGTTACTGTTAGGCCTTAACTTCATTTACCATTTGTCCCAACAGTGTACAAGATTCTTCGTACACATGTTAGATGGAGCCAGAAGTAGTATTTACTGTATTTAAAGAAACATATGCTGTAGCAATTTCTTGATCTTGACAGTATATACACAATTTACAAAATATTAGTTTTTAATGAAAAATTCTAATACTATATGAAAAATATAATATTTTCCAGATAATAATTGAATGCGATTATTTAACTTTATATTTTTTGCCTCGTAAAATTTTATGTTTGTGTATAATAAAACTATATTAAAATGCTTTTAATATTATATATGTGACATCATAATGTCAATTTGACACAATTTTTTTGTCAAATATTTTCAGAGTTTTCTAGCGACTAAAAATGGTTAATTTAAACAGAACGAGTGATTTTTGAGCGAACTTTGGGTAAACTTTTTTTTTCTTTAGACAATATTAAATCGCAACAAAAATATCTTCGATGGAAAAAGTTACGCAATTCAAGTTTATATTTGTCCGAATTATAACTTTTACTTGTTAACCAATTAATGCGGGGTTGCCACAAGTCAGGGTAAGACAGGGAAAAGTCAAGAATTTTTAATAAAAGTACTGGAAAAAATTAAATTTTTAGAATTTATTAAAAAATTCGGAATTTTTGGGTCTTTTTTGTTTGCCTCATAAACTATGAAGTTGACAAGAATTCTAATACAAACCCTTCAATTTTTTCTATTTCTAACAATAATTTCTTTTTATGTAACTTCATTCTTGAAGAACTATCAATTATTATTCATTAAATAATTTATAAGTAATAAGTTTACTTAAAAATATCAAAATTAATTAGATTTCAAAAGAGTTGCGTTCACAACTTTATAAATAGATAAACTTCAAAGGTTTCAATTTGAAATTTTAGAAAATATCAATTATTCAATTATTTTCAAAAATTTTCCTCATTTCCATTATTTTTAATATTTACTATTTTAATAAAATTTTCCAAAAGAATTCCATTACTTGAACAAAATTTTAATAAAAATTTAACAGGAACTCAAATACTTACCAAATTTTTATAAATTTCTTCGTATATCAATTCAATTATTTTTATTTTTTTAATGAAGTTTCTCCAAAGAATTCAAATATATTCAGAGAATTGAAAAAATAGTTCTGAGAAATTCATTTATTTCGAAAAATTTAAATAAAATTATTTTAAAAGTTCTATTATTTTGAAAAATTTTGACAAAATTTTTTACAAGATTTAGTTAATTTAAAGTTCTCCTATATACAATTCAATTATCTTAAATATACAATTCTTCTTCAGAATTTAATTATTAATAAAAAAGTTGAATAAACTTCTTCTCTTGAAATCAATTATTTTCATAACTAATAAAATTTTTCTTGAGAATTCAATTATTTAAAAAAAAATTTGATAAAATGCTTTTATAAATTTGAAAAATGAAAATAAAATTGGTCATAGAATACAATTATTTT